TTGGCAGAAATGATTAAGCGGATACCCTTGGCAACGGATATACCGAAACACAAAAACTTTAGGGAAAAGTTAGAAAAGCTTAAGCAAAGCCAACTAAGAAACTGCTAAGTAAACTTCTACTTGGGCAAAATGTGTTTTTATTTTTGCGACTCACAGTCTGTTGACTTTAAAGTTGCAAACTTTCGACGCTGCGATATGCATATAGTAAGGGCCCCATAAAGATGCCATGAAAGTCCTGGCCAACTCCACCGACAAATAGCCATAAATAAGTGCCCATGGCTTCTTCGCTGTGTGTTGTGTGTGCTACCTATTGGCCATTGTTGCCCCAGAATGGCGACAACTGCAGCAGTCCGATTTGGCCTGGCCCAGAGCTTATTTATGCCACCAGTCTCAGTCCGGTTCGAAGAAGCCAAGAAAAAATGGAAAAAAAATGAAAAAACGGTGGCCAAAAGTCAAGTGAATTTCCTCAGCACACAGACACAGAAAGCCATGAAATGTAGTTTGTTATGAATTTCTGCTACATCCTTTTCTCGGTTTTGGTTTGGGTTTGGCTTTTTCCCCAATTTCCCCTTTTGTATTTTTGGTATTTTTGGTTGCCAGAGAAGCGGGTCGCAAACACATCCGTAAACAATTTGTTCATGCTCCTATTCGCTTTTATTTTTCTCAGCTTTTTGTTGCCGCTACCCGATAAGCAGAATAAAGAAATGAACAGGGGTAGAATTGAAAATAGGCAACCCTATTACAAGGGATACAAATGGCAGCCCAACAAAAACAATTCAAATGAACTGCCAACCCAAAAGGGCGAAACACGAGGAGCCCTGGAATTTTTCAAGTTTTTCAAGCGCACTCTGCCCATTTAAAAAAAAAAGGGTTAAAAAGGGGCAATCAACGCTCTGGGTGGCAATTGGTAAGAAAAGGGTTTAAATGGAGCGTGAGCAAGTGGTTTCAGTATCTTGGTTGAGTTATGGCATATCGTTAATCAGTGGGCGATTATGATCCACCGGGTGGTCCATTGATTCTTTAATCTGCAAAACAATTGTAATTAATATTATTCACCTCCGAAGACCACCCAGTGCCCTCAAGTTATTTAATTGAATTTGCAAGTGCCAAAATTAAATTGAACAAAGCTTACCTTTTAATTAGGCTAACTATTCGGTAGCCGTAATAATACTTGCGTACTTCAGTTTTGCAAATCCATATTATTAGACATTTCATTGATATGTTATCCTTTTAGTATCGCTATGAAATTTAATTGCTAGATTAATTTGGGCAGGCAAATGTACATTCCTCTGGAAATTGATATATTGATGGTCATTTAGGCACACTTTAGAATACTAAGCCCTGGGTTATTGGATTTAAAAATAAATAACTGTACATATGAATCCATGAGATAACTAGAATTGTTTTGGAATTTAGCTTGTTATTAAGCTCTTTTATTTGATTTGTTTTATAAAACCAATAATTAAATAGCCATCACAACAATTTAAGTGTAATTAAAACATGCTGTATTGGTATATCCATTTTTTTTAATGATTTAAAATCATTTGTTTTATAATTGATTAGATTATATATATAACACTGCAATGTAACATATATCTTGATTACAAATCACTGTTTAAAATCACCTTCCAAAATAAGTGAATTGGAAGTGAAACAGTAAATAATTGCATTAAGCTGTTGCTGTAAGTTGGAGGAAAATGGGGTGTTATGGGTGGGGAAAGTTGGTTAGTCTAACTTGGCCAATTCCCGTTGGCGTTGGTGTGAGTGAGCCTTTCTTTTTCCGCGCTTGTGTGCATGTGTGTGTGGGAGCCTTTGCCTGTGTCAACGTAATTTCTCCCTGACTTTCTTTGCTCCACTTCGGCTCTCATTCTTGTTTGCCATTTCATTTCCATATGCACAAAGCAAATAGGCAAACAATTTCAAGGGGGTGGTGGTATAAAAGGGGGGAAATCGGAAAAAGTGGGCGGGGTGGGGTGTTGGGTGAATGTTAATACAGACCCGATACAGTTTGGCCACCCATTTCGTTGGTGGTTGTCTTGGTAGCGGGGCTGTGGCATCTTGACAGCCAACAACTCACTGCTCAGTGACACGTGTGAAATGTTATGTTCTGCGGGTTCAGGGGGCAGCAGTCGAGCGAGGGGTTTCCCGGGGTCGAATCCAAGTTTTTTGACACATACAAGGGGCGAACGATGGCAAATTGGAAAGTCAAGCCGGAGTTGACAGGATTTGCGCGCAAAAGGATTTACCCGGGAAATATAGCGAATAATACAGAGAGAACCATTTGTCCTCTCTATCAATGCTAACAATTTTCTGTGGGTATTTTAAAAAATGTATATCCGTATACCCTTATATATCTTTAGAAAGTAAATAAAAGGTAGCATACTTTTTCCACACACACAAAAGTAGGAACTGAATTTTTAATAAATGGTTTAAGTTACGAAAATTGTTTTACTTTCAGTTCCATGCCACTATTTGATGGTATTTTATCTAAGTTATAATAATTGTTTTAAAGTAAAGTATTTGCTTATTAAAATGACTAAGCTGACATGCAGAAAATAATTTAAAACAAATCACATTTAAATAGAACGTATATTTCATTCCAGTGTATTTATGTATATACATATTGTGCATTTTGCGTGTAAGCGAGTTGAACAGGAAAAGGAATTGGAGCAGGAGCCCTTGGAGCCGCCGCAGCAGGATAATCGACTGCCTGTCATTGTGTTTACACTAAATTTCAATTAAATTTTGAGGCCTCCTTTGACAACTGACAGAACAAGGAAATCGTGGGCCCATCGGAAAGGGAATATTCAAGTATAAATTTAGAAGGATCAGCGTAAGAGAAACACAATTGCCGATGCCACTTGCCACTTTTTGGCAAACGACAACAAATCTCGGCCGAAACTTTAGAGGCAATCTTATGCGGGAAAGTGAAGCCACTTTTGCTTAGCGCTTCTCAACAACAAAATCCGGAAAGGGAAATGCTAAAAAAAAGTTGAGGGAAAATGCCAGCAATCCTCCAAAGTGGGCGGGGATTTGCCAACTGGATTTAAAATGGAAATTATTTGAAGAAAACCAATCCGGTTTATTACTTTGGGGCATACGCAGCTAAGTAAAACAAGAGCAGTCGACGGTAACGCTGCCAGCAACAATAACAAACAAAGGCAAAAACAAAATAACAAAATACTCCAAAAAGCTACAACAATAACAATAACAAAAACAACCAAGGAACAACAAAAGCAAGCGACCATAAAAATTAATGCAATAAAAACACATGGCCAAAACGGCCAGGAGCCAAAGCCCAAACAAAGGACACAAACAATGAAAAGTTGGCTGCCAGAATGGCAAAGAAATAAAGCCAAATGGATGGAGAGTGTACACTATACAGGTATAGTGTTAGGATCGATAAGTTTTTGCTTACACAGCCCTCCAGAATTGAATGACAAACATATATGTCAGAGGCAGGAAAAGCATACATTTATAAAGATCATTCGAAAAGATGTGGTGTCTTGTCAGCATATATTTATAGTTATTCGGTTATATACAAATAAGACAATGTTGAAAACTTTAGTTACTAATTTAAAACAAATGCCAAACATTGAAAGATACAATCTTACATCTTAAGAATTTTTATTAGATTAGATTATAAATGTGTTTCTAAATTTAATACTACTTTTTAGCTGAAAAAGAGTAACTATTACTTTTGTAATTTAGTTAGATATTGACCCAAAAAATAAAAGAGATGACCGTATACTTTCCATTCAATTTCCAGAACAGCCATTCTCCATAAAAGTCTGGTGATGTCAGGAGGATTTTAAATAGGTTAGAGGGAACAAGGATATGGGCGCAAGGCAGGCTGCCAGGAGTCCTTGGCTTTTTCTTGCCCTTTTGCTCTTTGCAGGCGGCACGCAATTAAAAGGACTTGCGACTCATAAACATTGCGCTTGAGTGGATGGTCTGGTGGTTCGTCTGCCTCAGCACCACCCAACCACCCAAACCACCCATTGGGGCAACAAAACACCACCCACAACTGTTGCTTTTCGCCTGATTGAGCTCACAGTTTGCGGCTCATAAAGTCAGAGTCTCGGGCATAATTACACTTTTCAATTATGCATAATTATGTGTAGAAAGCAATTTGTGTGTGTTTGGAGCGCGTTTAAAATTTAAAGTGCAGTGACACCAGGCACCTCTCATCCTTAACCCCTGAACGAGCAGCACTCCGCACTCCATAACCCTTAACCCCACATTCCTCATTCCTCATTCCTCATTGGAGCTGCTGTTATGCGATATGCCCTTAAAAACGACCCCAAGCGACCAGCAAGCGACCGCATTTGTTTGCTTTGGCTCCACGTTGGTCTCTCACTTTACACTTGGAGAAAATATTGGCAAAAATTCAGAAAATAGCTGAAAATTAATTTAAGAATCCTTCATGATAACCTAATGAATACATAAAACTTATATGATACAAGTTTGTACCTTAAAATAAGAAGGTCCTTTTTTATACATTTTAAAATAAGGGACTGTAATAATATAATGTTTTTTTTTCATTCATACTAATTCATTCATAAATTCATTCATAAATTCATTCATAATAATTCCATAAAGTGCGGACTTTAATTAAAAATTTATAATGATATTTATAGTCTATGGTTTTGAAAGACCATTATAATCGAATCACTTTTTTCTCCGTGTGCCATCGCTTTCACTGCTCCTGCTGCGGTTGGCAGTGGCCATGTCAGAACAGCAGCACAGGACTGCAAGGACAACGCAGCAGGCAGAAACATAAATCAGGATTTTCGCAGCCCGAACCACAAATGTTTTTAAAAGGATTCAGCGCCCGGCGAGGCGGCAACAATAACAACCTTGAGCGGGTTTCTGGGCCTATATTGTATATGTGTATATATATATATTGCTGATAATCTTATGCATGCTTAAGCAGGCTATATGTATGCACCATATATGGAGAGATCCTGTGGGGAAAATGGGAAGAGGTTTTGACTTACCCGTCAGGCAGCAGAAAAGTGCCGTCCACAGGGTCAACATTTTGCGATGACCCACTCGATTTGCGGTCTCTTTTTGGCGTTGCAGCTATACCTTTTCACTTTCCCTCCAATCCTCGATTTATTCTTTTTCCTAACACTTTTTAATGTTTGCTCTGTGTCCTATCAATTCGCACTTTGTTTGCTTTGTGAGCTTTGATCTATGGCAATTTCTGTGGGCAAGATATATTTTTGTTTTGATTTTCCTTATTCACACACAACACTTTTTCGTGTCTTTGCTTCTATTAGACCCTGCTACAGAGAAAAGAATTATGGATTTAAATTTAAATTAATTTTTGATACATTCTTAAAGACAATGGACAACCTAGAAACCGAAAGTGTTTCTCCTAAGATACTAAAATAAGATTTTCAGAAGCCTCGGAATGATTCTGAAGTATCTTAATCTTTAAAACATGTTTTAGATTGTATCCAGTTGAATATTGTTTTAAAATAGTTAAGTACAAAGTTTATTATTTAAAAAAATAAATATGTATTCCCAAGTAAGTCCCAATTTTTCTCTCTGCAGCTGAGCCTGCTTCCGTTTCTCTCTTTTCGTTTCGCGTGAATTAAACACTTGCAATGACATTTAAAACACTTAATATCAATGGCAGACAATTTAATCCTTTAACGTTCGTTTGTTGAACTTTTTCAGCATTGTCCTTGTTGTTTTTCGTCCTTATTGCTGGTGTTGTTGTTGTTGCTGTTGCTGCTCTTGCACTGCAGTTGCAATTGTATTTGCTCTTTTGGCTCCTCCTAGGCCGGAATAATATTTTTTGTTGCCCTGCTCGTTTCGCATTTCCATGAACAACTTTTTATTTTCTTTCCGCCTGGAACGTACCCAAAAAGAATTGATTTTCGTCTGGGGCTAAAGAGGCTTTAAGGGGAATTTCATTTGTCCTGTTCTCGTTGTTTTCTGCCGGCTTCTGCCCTTGCTGTTATGGAACATAAATTGATTAAATTTGTGTTTTTGTCGGGGCTGATAAGCCAGATTTTGATGGAGTGCCTGGTAAGTAAAATACATTGTTAACTAAAACTTGGCAAGAAAGCATTTTCTGCTTGTCTTTACCAAGGGGTTTTTAAAAAGAAGTCTCAGAATAATTTTCCTTTATTTAAGGCCCTAAAATAGGAACTGTTTCCTCTCCTTGAACACTGAAAAAGTTTACACTACAAATTAGAAAGGCTTGGCTTTCGGGAAACGCCCAAGCCTACTTGCTTTGAAAAACCTACTCACATCATACAATTAATTATGGTTAATGCATAAAGCAGAATCAGTTATTGACCAAAGTCGTTCTGAGCCGCTGGTCAGCTGCCCCTGCATATTTCATGGATACCAAAAACTTCGGTGGCATGTGTCCGGTTCCAAAAATAAATCCCCGCCACTGGGGAACCCCAAATTATGAGGAGTTTGTGGAAAACTGTTCAAAGCCGTCACGCCTCTTTTCCACATATAACCGCCTGCGGCTATTTTCAGACCTGCTGCCATCCATTTACTTTGGCATCAATCAATTGCCCAGCCCAGGGGAGAAACTTTACTGCTACTTCGGCATTTCCCTCACATCTAATTTGTTAAACATTTGCTGGGGAATTGCCTTTTTCACACGCCCCTGGAAAACGGTGTGTGTTTTTCTCTGGAAAAATGTTCCCCTCACTGTGTGAAATTAATTAAAACTTAATTAATTGCAAACTTCGCTGGGTTGAATGCGACAGACACACTAATGAGAAGCGGAAAGGGACCAAGGTCCGAGTTCAAATGCAGGGCTCACTCGACATTCAGAGAAAAAATAATACAATACAGTACACAGAAAAACATATACAAAAATTAAGAGAGTACTAAGTAAACCACATAAGTACCATTTTGTAACCATGCACTTCAAGTAAGAGGATGCCTGGATTTCAACTCATAATCATAGCTATGATACTGATGTACCCCTTATTTACCATATTAAATATAAGACAAAAACTATATTTCAGGAATCGGTTTTTTTGAATAAAAGAAAATTTAGTTTACAAGAACGTAAGTAAATCATTATTCAAGTTTATCCTTTCTTCTCAAATATAATATTTAACATATAAAAGGATAAAGAAAACTTATATATTTTTTAAACTATGATAAGAAGATAATTATTTAAAAAATTTTAAATACAAGACATGCTACATTTTAAAGACTCTTAGTCTTAATAAATCATTAGTCAAGTTCATCTCTAATTTTTTTCTCTGCAGGATCCTCACTGTGTGACTTCAATCAGAAGTAGCTGTAGCTGACATGTTGTCCCTCTCGTCTCGGAATTCTCCCTGGAATCCCTCCTAGAATCCATGGCCACTTGTCACTGTTGCTTCCGTAATGGAATTAGAGAGGGGCAGGGTGCTCGGGAATGTGGGCATCGGGAGGACAAGGCCCTGGGCAAGGACTCAGGACTCGGAGACGGAGTCTGAGACTCCTGCCAACGTCAGCAGTGTCTCTGAAAAGTGTTAACGCACTCAATTGCTCTTCATCTACCCATCTCTTTCTCGGCCAACTATGCCCGTCTCTTTCCAAGTGCCCTCCTGCCTCTCTTTCTAATTGTAAGCGTCTGCATTTTGCTACTCAGCTCGGGGGCAGTGTCTGCTCTAATGCTTAGTAACTGTGATTAGGAGGCAACTTTAGTTCCGGGTGGGTTTAATTTGCCACCCACTCGTACCCTTTTTCCCCGAGGGCAATCTTAGCCTTTGTTTCTGCCCCATTGTGTGTGTCGGTTAATTCCTGCTGTATGAATATTTTATTGAGGAAGGTTTTCTCTTTTTATCGGCAACATGGGCATTATGTGCGAGAACAAAGAAAGGAAACATTTTAATTGTGTTTGGGTATGGCAGGCGGGATTCCACATAAGCTGGTGGCCTTAAAAGTTTGGTATATCCAAAACAATAGTGCTGCAAGAAAAGGAAAACGCTGAGAGGCCAAAGTACTTGACACTTGACAAAACTTTTCCATCAACAAATGCAGTTGCGACAAGTGAAAGTTTTCCTCAAGGAAACTTGATTTTCCCCAGAAGCCACAACATCTTATCATCTTTATCCTATAAGATGTGTGTATTTCCGTTCTTTCCCCAAACGCACATTGCGCATACGCACTGTGATCAGTCTGCCGTAAATTCCCCTCCACACTTGTTTTCCATTAATATTTTATGTGTTTTCTATTAATTTTTGTCACATTCTTTTAGTGTTTCGCCAGGGGCCGCAATATTGGATTACACAAAAAAGTCTATTAACGCTCGATATTTGTGGCAGCGATTTCTGTTTTGACGCAGATCAAAGATTCATAGTTTTCCTCTGTTTTTTGTTTGGCTTTTTTGTGTTGTTTTAATTTGTTAATTTGTATTTTGGGGTCTGGGCTCCCCTAGTTCGTCTAAATATAAAACAACTTAATTTGCTGCATGCTAATGAGACGGCCAAGGGGGCGGGGCTGGAGGTCGTTGTGTGGGCGTTTAACACTTTTATAATTTGTTTGGATTCCGATACTGGTGCTCCTGCTTTTATTCTGGTCTTTTGTCGCCTGCCACAGCTGACAAGCTGCTAACACGCACTGAATTTCGTTAGATTTCTTATTACTTTGTTTTTTTGGTATATAATTTTTGGAGACGAAGTCGTAAAATATTCGCGTGCCGAACGCGTTTTGACTTAGCAACAGCAACAAAACAACAACAGCAGCAATAACAGTAACTGGAACAACAAAAAAGCGACAAAAGGTCATTCAATTTTCGACTGCCGGCAATGGGGCAATGAGGCTTTTCCTGCGTTTTCACACGTTTTCCAAAATTTACGACCCAATTGTGCCCGCTTTTCTTATCCGCTTGCACTCACACACTTTTGCCCCGAGTCACAAAAACACAGCACACGCACACACACAGTTTGGTCCGGAAAATGTCGCGCCTCACGTATTTGGGCCTCACATTTCCATCAACTTTTTATTTGGTTTTTCCACGCGCTTTTCCGCGCCTTCGCCTTTCGTTCACCGTCGATGTCGCGCTGAAACTGAAACAGAAACTGAAACTGATTTCTGCCAGCAGTGGAGCACTTTTCCGGGGGGATTTTCCGAACTCGCACGAACCTTTATCAGCGGCGATTCGGGTTTGTTGTCTTCGTATCGGGAAAATGTCGTGGAAAAGGGGGGTGGAAAATCGTGTGCCGAGTGAAACACTCCCGCCTGAATTCGCCGTATTTTACCCATGTTTTCTCTTAGCTCTTAAACAATATGCTCTTTCAAGGTCTAACAATAAAATGTTTCAAATAGTTTTGGATATTTGCGATTATTTTGTTAGTGCCAACAGGGGAAGTAACTTAACGACGCCGAATTATGATCTCCAGCCAAATTTAAGCTTGTTTTACGATTGTGTTTTTAAGGGGTTAAGTTGATTTTTATGGTGGGAACTTAAAAAAGAAGTTATTTGAGTTCTAAACGCTGGGGAAATTAAATGGAAATGAAAGGTAATAATTTTGTTTATGCTTATGATGGAGGGAGTGAGTAATAGATAAACGTATAACAAAAGTGCATATCATTTTTTAAGGGGTTTTTAAAGAGGTATATTATAACTCATTTGTAGTACGTTAATCCTAACATAGCTCTTGCTCAAAATGGACAGGGTTAATCCTTTGATGACTTGGAGGTTCATTTAAATTGCCAACTTTTCTCATACTAAGATACAACAAATATTAAGTTTTATTTTAATATTTTCTACATGAATTAAGCCCCATATGGTGTTTTTCTTAAGTCCAAGACTGATAAGTCTTAAACATTACTGCTAGCTTAATATGTTGACTAGTTATTTATTTCTTTAAAACTTTAAAATTTTTAGAAATAAATAAAAAATATGTGAGTTTGTGAATATGCCCTTAATAAATTTTTACAAAATAACTTTACTTAATATAATATTAGTAGTATGGATTGTATTCTTGCCTTATTACTATTATGCTTTATTGGGGAGTTGATAAATGCTTAATCCTATATGAAATTTTAATTTCATAGTTAAGAACTTATTTTATAAATGGGAGGAAACATTACCTCAGACAATATCTTAAGCAAGACTGACAGCCTTAGGTCAGTGTCAAAGAGCAACTTTATAGAGCCGTAAAAAGAGCGCGCATGTACTGAGATATTCCAAGGTTCTCTTACACTCTCTTCCCGTTTTTTTACGGCGAATTGGATAATGTGGCCAGAAGGCAGGGATTTCAATAAAATTCACTGGAGTTGGCACAAAAAGAGCTAATGACAATATAAATTCGCATGGCGTATGGAAATGCGGGGGATCTGGCCGTGGGATTTCCCGCTCTTTAAAGGAAAAGCGGAATCGGGATGATGAAAACCGGGGGAAAATGGCGGGGAAGCCAGGCAGCTGACAGCAGTTATCGCTGGAGCGAAAGGCAGTAATTAGCGTAAATTGAGTTGGTAAAAAGCGCAAGTGTTCAAAATCCACCCACCCACTTGTGACACACCCGCCCCATTCCCTCAAAGGGCCAAAACCCCCCTCCCCTTTTCCAGATTGGGTTGTAGTTGTCCCTTGTTTTTGTGGTTGCTGCTGCCTCTGCTGCTGTTGTTGATTATGTGGCAATTAGTTGTCGCTTTTGTGGCAAGCCGCGCGACACTTTCAATCAGAGCATCTTATTCCGACAGCCGCATAATGCCCATCCAGGTGGGGCTTACTGAGCTAATTAAACAAGCCGATTACGGGCCGACATCCCGCTGACCTTGACCACCCACCACCCACTCTAATTCCACCTGGAAAAAGTTTGCCACAACTCCTAACCGACTCGACCCCATAACATTTCTACGGTTATCAACTTTCTGCACATATTGTCAGAGGTGTTTAAAAGTCTGGGTCACTGGTGGGTTAAGTGGGCGTTGGTGCAAAACTGGGGGCGTGGCTTTAGTGTAATGAGCAGCATTCGGCACTTGCTCGGTATTAGAAACTTTGCGAAAAGGCAAAAAACCAAAAGTTTCCAATTTAGTTGCACAGAAAATATTGTTGCAGAAATTGGTTTAACATTCAAGTAGGCGAATAAAAAATGCACTTTAAAATTTATTGAAAAATAAACTGTTCAGGAATTTATTGGCAATCATACTTAACTTTAAAATTGAGGCAAACTTTCAAGTGAGCAGTTATTAAATTTATTTTTAATTTAAACTTTTGTATAGCAAAACTCTTTGAAAGATTTCTCGAATGATTAATGGCTTTGAGTGAAGTCAAATCTTTAGTTTTTCGAGAAAATGCTAAAGTTCTTTCATTTTATTTTTGTTTCTGCTTAGATCTTTACTCATTTGGCATCTTACAAAACATTTCCCTTAGCTCAACAGCCCCGGGGCAAATGCAGTTCATTTGCTGAACTAAAATTGTATGATTTATGAAAATGTTCTACGAATATTCCTGTTCTCTCCCCACGTTTAAATGGAAGGGTGTGATTCCGCCCACATTGTAATACAATCAGGATCTGGCTTGGAATTAAATCTGCTAACCGAGTTATAGCGCTTGAGGAGGGTGGAACTGGAGATTCTGTTCTGGGGCATTGTTGCATATTCAACAATTGCATCTGCAAACCGACGAAGTAATAACAAATGCAAATTTTAAGCTCAAGAATTTTCGTTAGCAAAAATTGTATACATTTTTTTTTGGTAAGCTCATATTTTACTTATTTGTGCTTTTTGCCTTCGGCAACAGCAGGCAAAAGTGCAAATGAGTTTTGGCCGGCCCCTTTTCCCCTGACAATTGAATTTGTTTAAATTGTTGCCTGCTGAATTTCCGAGGGAGCTGCGGAATCGTAGCCATGCATCAGCAATCAGGAAAGGGGATATCCACTAAAACTTCAAGTAGAAACACATTGTCCTCCTCGCTGAGAGCCAATATAATCAAGCGGCAGCAGCTGGCAAAAAATGATGTGGCAAAGTGTGGGTATGTGCGGGATGCACTGGGAAAAAATCAAATTATTAAAAAAATTTGCCAAATTAATTTTAAAAATTTTACAAACTTAAGTTGTTGAATCCCGATTTAGATGTGTGGCACCTCTATGAGTTTGTGGTCGAATTCTCTAATAGTCTACATTAAAAGTTTTTTTTATAAAAAGGGTGAACACTTTAACCCATTTTCATGTTCGATTTTTCCGTAATTCCAATGGTTTTCAGAATGGGGAACCAAAACTGAAATTCTAAATTCCATAACTTGAGTTATATTATTCCGATTTGGACGTGGGATACCTCTATAAATTCGCGGTTGAATTCTCTAATAATCTACATTAAAAGTTTCCTTTTTGACGATAGTCAAAATTTTAACCCATTTTCATGTTGGATTTTTACGTTATTCCAATGGCTGTCAGAATGGCGACCCAAAACTGCACTTCCAGATTTCATAACTTTTGTAATGGCAGTCCGATTTTGAAGTGTGATACCTCTATGAGTTTGTGGTGAAATTCTCTAATGATTTACATTTAAAGTTTTCTCTTGGACGAGGGTCCAAATTTTAACCCATTTTCATGTTCGATTTTTACGTTATTCCAATGGCTGTCAGAATGGGGACCCAAAACTGCACTTCTAAATTCCGTAACATAAGTTACTTGACTCCGATTTAGACATGGGATACCTCTATGAGTTTGTGGTAGAGTTCTCTAATGATTTACATTTAAAGTTTTCTCTTGGACGGGGGTCCAAATTTTAACCCATTTTCATGTTCGATTTTTCCGTAATTCCAATGGCTGTCAGAATGGTGACCCAAAACTGCACTTCCAGATTTCATAACTTTTGTTATGGGAGTCCGATTTTGAAGTGTGATACCTCTATGAGTTTGTGGTGAAATTCTCTAATGATTTACATTTAAAGTTTTCTCTTGGACGAGGGTCAAAATTTTAACCCATTTTCATGTTCGGTTTTTCCGTAATTCCAATGGCTGTCAGAATGGTGACCCAAAACTGCACTTCCAGATTTCATAACTTTTGTTATGGGAGTCCGATTTTGAAGTGTGATACCTCTATGAGTTTGTGGTGAAATTCTCTAATGATTTACATTTAAAGTTTTCTCTTGGACGAGGGTCAAAATTTTAACCCATTTTCATGTTCGGTTTTTCCGTAATTCCAATGGCTGTCAGAATGGCAACCCAAAACTGCACTTCCAGATTTAACAACTTTTGTTATGGGAGTCCGATTTTGAAGTGTGATACCTCTATGAGTTTGTGGTGAAATTCTCTAATGATTTACATTTAAAGTTTTCTCTTGGACGGGGGTCCAAATTTTAATGTTCGATTTTTCCGTAATTCCAATGGCTGTCAGAATGGTGACCCAAAACTGCACTTCCAGATTTCATAACTTTTGTTATGGGAGTCCGGTTTTGAAGTGTGATACCTCTATGAATTTCTGGTGGACGATGGTCCAAATTTTAACCCATTTTCATGTTCGGTTTTTCCGTAATTCCAATGGCTTTCAGAATGGGGACCCAAAACAGCACTTCCATATTCCATAACTTCAGTCATTGGAGTCCGATTTTGACGTGTGATACCTCTATGAGTTTGTGGTTAAATTCTCTCATAATCTAAATTTAAAGTTTTCTTTTTGACGATAGAGAAAATTTTAACCCATTTTCATGTTCAATTTTTCCGTAGTTCCAAGGCTTTTAGAATGGAGACCAGAATCTGAACTTCTAAATTCCATAACTTGAGTTATTGAATTGCGATTTTGACGTGTGATACCTCTTTCAGTTTGTGTTCGAACCCTCTTGTATTCTTCATTAAAAGTTTTCTTTTTAATGAGGGTGAAAATTGTTACCCGATTTGTTTAACTGTATAATAGATGGTGGGGGTTTACGTGGGCAGCAGGCTGCAGGACTTGGGCACTGATGAGTTCACTTCAGTGAGCAAATGAAACGATATTGTTGTCAATTTAGGTGCAACAAAGAGCAGCAATGCGTCCCGTCCCTTTCCATCCGGCGGCAGACAAGGACAAGAACAAGACAAAACAAACAGCATGCATGATGAGCGAGAGTGAGAG